CGCACAGGTACACAGACATGTTCTACAACCCGGAGGCCCCCCCTGTGGTTGGTGTCCGGGCGGTTGTGGATTCCCTGCGTGCTGGCCAGATTGGTGTCACCCAGGCGGTGGACACTATCGAACGGATTTTGCTGGGTTGCTTCGGTGATGCCTTCAGGCCCGGGCCGGTTTCTAACGGCAAGGCGGCGTGGTGGAATGATGAGTGTGCTGCGGCTAAGCAGGCCATGTTGCAGTATCGGTCTGATGTGATGAAGTGGGGGTGTGCTGCCCCGGCTATGGGGCATACGAGTTTTCAAGAGTTACGTCGTCAGTTTAATCGTGCTAAGCGTAACGCACGACGGGATCACCGGCTGCGAGCCTTGGAGTTATTCATAGCTACATGCAAACGGGATGCGAAGACCCTATGGCAACGTCTGAACGGTAAGCCAGCGTCCAGATGCAATGTGGAAGACGTGTCGGAGTGGACGGACTACTTCGATCGCCTTTATAATGCCTCAGCCTCCTTCGATGAGGTGCAGGAGGCCCGTGTCTGTGCCATTCTCAACTGTATCAATCTCGGTGCGGGCTCCCAAGTCGGGGCGGCGTGGCGTGATTCCGAACCGGTGCATGCTAGACGGTCTATGGCCGACACTATGAATGGTCCGTTCACTCTTGAAGAGGTTGAGGCGGCTTTGTCGTCCCTGTCTAATGGGTGTTCCCCGGGTCTGGGTATGGTTCCGGCCGAGTGCTACAAGTATGCCAAGCGAATCCCTCGTGAAGGTGACGAGGACAGGGTGTCTGTCAATGTTATTGCCCCTGCGATTCGAGACCTTTTCCAGCACATTTGGGATACAGGGGATGTGCCTGACCAGTTTTGCGTGGCGTCTCTCAGTCCGTTATTTAAGAAAGGCGACCCCAGGGTCAAGGACAACTACAGGGGTCTAGCTGTGGGATGCGCCATTGCCAAATGCTATGCCACGGTTCTCGACAGGCGGCTGGCAGCTTTCGGGGATAAAGATGGTGTCCGGTGCCGTTTTCAGGCTGGGTCCCGTCAAAAGCGCAGTACAGTTCATCAGTTGTTCGTGTTCGTCATCTAAAAG